CACGTCTCAACACCATAAACAAAGCAAGCGTTTCCTAGCAACGACAACTGCGCTAAACACTAATGAGACAAGAAATAAATACACTTACGATCTGCTTTTAACTTCCGCTGATTGACTGCTTCTCTCAAAGAGTATTTCTTTACACTGTTTTTGCTAGCGCTTAAACACACTTTACTGTTTATCACAACAAAGGGCTAAGCAAGCGCACAACACTGACAAGGTATACGATAGAGTACGAGACCAAACGCAACTGTATTTGATCATATTTAATGTTTTTCACCTGGTAGACAATAAACTGAAATAAACCTCAGACTTCAGTTTAAAATGAGGAACATCTGTGTTTTCTCTGTCTGACATCTGTAAACATAATCAGCTGGTGTGTTTAACAACCATCCAAATTCATCAGTCGGAGTCTTGTTTAAAAACTTCCACTCAAATTTAAAGTGTCTAGGGTTTGCTGATGATGGCAGTGTAAAATCTTTAAATACTGCCCTTAATTCATCCATACAGGTCCGTTAGAACAGGAAAACACTTCCACTCCCAATTACACTGCACAAGAATGTCTTGGCATTTTGCACAGCCTGAAGGTGTGCTCTTTACGCACATTTACACAAGACCGCTATGAAAACACATTTGTTTCCTTCTGGTTATGATGAGTGAGACGTCAAACATGTGGTTGCTGTGGTTACAGATAAACAGAAATCCCATTGCATTACGGAGGCCGTTGACTGGGCATGTGCAAAATGAATCGTGTAAACGCTGAGAGAGGCAAGGACTGTTTGATATGCACACTTCCTGAGTTCCTGAAACCTGCCACACCAGAACCAGCATTTGAGGAACAACGTCAGTTTTGAGTTTTGATATTCTAGGCTTTCTCTGGTGTTGAAGCAACAGTGTGTCATGTAGAGATTCATCCAGCCTTTCTGAAATATAGCTCTACTATGTTTTACTATATACTATCAGAATAAATGGGTTCTTTCTGGAAACAGAAAGTGACATTTCACCCAAAAGTGAAAATACAGTCATTCAGACATAATGTTGATTGTTCTTTTCCATAACAATACAATGTACAATTTTGGTACAATGGTGCTTCTTTTTGTAGCTTGAATGCTTCAGCCTCCATTTATATTAATTGCAGTAAGAAGACAAATAGCATGAACTATGTTACCCGGTAGCCTATCTGTGTTTCATTTGTGTTTAAATATTGAGTTCATGTCCTCTGCTAACATGCTGTGTGGCATGTACTGACTAGTACACGGCTTGATAGGCTAACAGCAGTACTGTACATTGCAGATGTTGTATCACATAACTTTTAAATCATTGTTTGAAAAAGGAATGCTTTAAGATGTCAGACAGCCTGTGCCTTGAACACACAGCACACACTGAGTCACCGATAAACCTGCAGTATGATTCAGCAGTCTGTCCAGCAACATCGGGAACACTGTTTTTACATCTGAGATTTAAACCCATCTAAAAGAACAACGTATACTTCAGAATGCTTAAATACAGTATATCTATCAGATGGAATTTTCTCCCTGTGTATTTGAGTAAAGGACATTGCTGGAGCACCCTCATCAGCAGCACAGGAAAGTGCTGGTGCAGCAGTTGTATCAGAAGAGGTGGCACGTTTGCACTGCAGCATGATGCAGTGTCTGTGCAGAGACAGCGTCTTTGGTTTCTTCTCAGCAGCAAAAAAAAATGAGATGGAACCAAATCGATCCAGCAGTACCCCTCAAAGTGCTCACACAGAGAAAGAGACCCTGAGCGCTGCTGCATTGCAGTGGATGTGCTGCATTGGCCCCACACAGCTATTTTTAGGGAGCATTTATTTTAAGACTTACTGCGTCTTGCAGGTATTCTCACAGACAGTTTTAGCAATAGCCAAAAATACATTGTATGGGTCAAAATGATTTATTTTAATGCCAAAAATCATTAGGATATTAAGTAAAGATCATGTTCCATGAAGATATTTTGTAAATTTCCTACTGTAAATATAGTAAAACTTAATTTTTGATTAGTAATATGCATTGCTAAGAACTTAATTTGGACAACTTTAAAGGCGATTTTCTCAATATTTAGATTTTTTTTCACCCTCAGATTCCAGATTTTCAAATTAAAATCTTTCAAATGAAATATCAAATTAAAAAAATCAACCCTTATGACTGGTTTTGTGGTCCAGGGTCACATATTAGTTTTAAACTAAAATCTTGATGCTGTCCATGCATGGAAAGTCACTTTATGTTCAGCTGATAAGCTGAATCCTTAACAACCACTACCACTTCTACAGTCAACACGTAACTAAACCTTAGGAATTTTCCTGGGAATTTCCTTCTTTATGACCAGGTTCATTAACATGTAAAAAGACTCAAGTACAAGCATGAAGGTTACACAGCAATGCAATTGTCCCTCCTCTTCATATTAGTTTTAAACTAAAATCTTGATGCTGTCCATGCATGGAAAGTCACTTTATGTTCAGCTGATAAGCTGAATCCTTAACAACCACTAACACTTCTACAGTCAACACGTAACTAAACCTTAGGAATTTTCCTGGGAATTTCCTTCTTTATGACCAGGTTCATTAACATGTAAAAAGACTCAAGTACAAGCATGAAGGTTACACAGCAATGCAATTGTCCCTCCTCTCCTTTGCTCATCACTCATGTTTATTTGTGGCATCGTCGCTGTTTGCCACCAGACTTTGGCTGCATTGAGATGTGCTCATACGTGAGTTGAATGAATCGGCTCATGTCTCTCACCTTGAAATGTACTCATGCTGTTTTGCTGACAATTCCACTTTAGCGATGTGCCCATCAATGTGAGCGTAGTATGCCAAAATGCCAACATCACATGAATAGTGTCTATTTAAATCTTGTCATTCTACTTAGTCTTTTCATTTAGCGTTTTCTTTCAGGCACTGACGGTCAGTCATATGCAAATACATGTCACTTTCCCATCCTCAGAAAGCACTGAATGTTGTTGTGATGTGACGGATGATAAAATGTGCCTGATCACTAATGCTGCAGGTTTAATGGGAGTGAAAAACGGCAATTAGATTAACGAGACAAAAGCAATCTGTTACGCTGTCAATTATTCATGCAGCACTGGTTGTCTCAAACATCAGCAGTTCGGATGGTAAAGATTGAATTACATGGAGCTCAAAGGCAGAATGTCTCCTGCTTCAGTGGTCACCTGATGGGGTCTGTGACCTACGCATCTAACTCAATTATCTATCAGGATGAAGCCTGAGTTTTATTCTAATCTGTTCATTTTCATACCACCAGCCTTGAAATATCCCCAGCCTTCAGTGGCTCATGTCCTGTATCGACAGTGTCGAGGGTAAGTCAGGACGGCCGGATGTGGCCATGCGTCCCGGCCCGTAAATGAGAGTAACTTGATGTCAGAGCTGGTTAGAGATGGCTATCAATACTTCTTGGTGGAATCAGTTTGATCCTAAAAGCAGAAAATAGAGCCATTAGTATGTGAAGTCATGAAGTAACTTCAGGAGGTTCTCGGTCAGTCGTGCAGGGAATCGTTGGAATTCACGGTTGAGTTGTCATCAGTCCCTTCCTAGTAATGGTGACAGATCCAGAAGGATTGCGGATGTGTGTGAGTGTGAGAGTGTGTGAGTGAGTGAGTGTGTGTGTGTGTATGTGTCTCAGAAGGCCTGATGTCCAGAATGTGTACTCCTTTTCACCTTGTGAAAAAGTTGTACATTTAGTTTACTGTAAAAAAGTACAGTAATTAGACTTTAAAAAGTACTAATTACAGAAATAATATACATAAAAAGAACTGTGTGAACTGAATGTAATTTTTTTAACTTGACTACATGTTATTTACAATTGAATAAAAATGTATTATAGTTTATAGTATAGCTTTAGAGTGCTTTTTTGACCCACTTAATTAGGACAAGTGGTGACAGATCCAGAAGGATTGAGTGTGTGTGTGCGTGTGTGCGTGTGTGTGCATGTGTGTGTGTGTGTGTTTCTTACACAAAAAAAGTAAGATTTGTCCATTTTGATTTTATGGTGACAATAAAAGTGTACTTAAGTGTTAATAAAACATGAACGTGTACTCTATACTCTTAAACAACCTTTTATTTCATATCTTATCTAAAAGTATAGTTTTTAAAAAATATACTTTTAATATTTGAAGTAGACTACAATTGCACAGTCAATACAATTAAGAGAGTTGGCCAGGTTGTGACAACTTTGATTATTCAGTGCTGCATTGATGACGCATTAGAGACGCAATGCCAGATGTGATGCGTGAGCTGGTGTAGAGGTGCTCAGTTAAAAATGTTGATGAGCAGGGACTTTGCAGACCGCTGTGGCTGGAGGAAGTGCAGAGGAAGGCAGTAGATCTAAAGGTCTCAGGGAAACACTTTGTCATCACAGTGGTTGTTGTCACACAGGAGTGATGCGCTTTCGTATTTCCAGATATTATCAAAATGTTACAGGTACGGAGTGATATTATTTGATGCTGTTAAGATTTTTTGAATTGGTTTAAAATTTATGAGGTTGCCTGAGCTGTTTTCGTTTGAAACGGCTTAAACTGCTCACATGCTTAAAACTAAATCATGGCATTGCATGATAGTGCTTCTTTGTAAGTCGCTATATTTGAACAGAAACACTATAATTATTTGAACGTTGCTTGTCTTTTACTCTGTGTTGGCGTGTAATAAAGTAGCTGTTTGGATGAGAAATATTATCATACCTGTGCACTCATATTTTTTTTTATTTGTGAAATGTGACGAGTCTGCATTTATTTCAGTCTCAGTAGCCTGTATGTCCAGTGCTGGCCTTCTCCTACTCTTCTTATATTTAACAAATATTTTGTGAAGATCATTTGGATCAGACACCCATACTGTGTATGTCATGAGCTGCAGCTCAAACCCTTTTAAATGCTTGACCTTAGATTAGTGTTGTACCTCATTGTTGATTTTTTCTGCAGTAAAACTGTTCCCTGCTCAGTGCACTTAAGTGTTGTGTTGATCTGTGCAGCGGCCACCAGCACCACTCCCTCAGCCAAGACCTCCAGTCATGTGACGCGCTGCAGCGAGAGCGAGAGGAACTACTGCGTGAACGGCGGCGAATGCTTCACGCTGGAGGTCACACCCGGCAACATCAGACGCCTCTGCAGGTACAGCTGCTCATCCGCACGCGTTTAACACAGAGATTCAGTCTGCCAGTCGCAGAGCCATTCTACTGTGAACGTGTTTTTCTGAAAAGTCATTTCAGTTGAGGTTTGATTCTCAGGCAGTGGCGTTTCCTCCAAGGACACTGCCTCCTCAAAATAATTAAATGAGAAAATATGCACAGAACAAACATTAACAATGCCAATATTACAAAGTTTGACTTTAAAAAGTGTATCGATTTTTTTCTTTAAATGACACTGTCCGACAGAGACTCCAGCTGTTGAAGCCACAGTGGGAGGCAGTGTCTCTTTTGCCTCCTTTGAGCCCATTGGGTTTTAACAGACTTCCTGAAAGCATGTGTAAATCGTAAAGGGTTTGGTGGGTGGTAATCGAGAATGAATGGAGGAAAGTCATGAGAGCAGGCAATGCCTCCATCGCACTATGCTTGGCCTTTTACACTGTTTTAAAGGTACATCCATGTGTCTGTGACCGTCATGACATCTGTTATGTTGACCGAGCTTTGATGACTGATGATCCAAAAATAAGCTGACTATTAAAAATAAACAATTCACAAATAAAATAGGCATGAAATCTGAAAGCTGTTATGGGGTTTTTATAGTTGCTCTTTTGGAATAAATGTAAAACTGCTTTAAAAACTTGATGAGATATATTCTTAGGTTTAAAAAATAAAACATTAATTGCATTTGTAATATAAAAATACAAATTAAAATGTCGGCTATTGTTTTTTTTTTTTTTGAAAGTGTAGGTAACATTTATTTATTTAACCTGGAAGATGTGCTTAACATTAAGCGGAACTGAAACATTAATTTAGATTGGATTAAACTAAAACATTATAAACAGTGAGGACTTTCATGCTCTTACTGTCCAATTCGGTGAATAAGCACAAACCCGAGTGCTGAAGTCAGGACTCTGTTCTCATCAGTCAGCACTGCAGTCAAGTGGAGCTTCTCTCTGTCTCTCTCTTTACTGTAAATGCAGTAGTAGTCAGACGGCAGCGCTCCTCAGGGACTGTAGATCTCTGAGCTTTCCATTTCTGATGTGATCAGACTAAAGTAAGTATTAATGTTCAGTGCGTGCAACATCCTGCAGCGTTTGTGCTTCAGACATGAATGATGTGTCTTTTGGAGAGGTGTGCCGGTGATCAGACACACAGGAGAAAAAAATCCCACAAAAAAGTCCTCTTCCTGTCTGAGCACAGCACATTGAAGGAGGCAGTCGAGCCGTATCTAGAGACCTGAAGATCACAGGTGGACTTTTTTCATGTGGCACAATGAAAAATGTCAAAGTGACTTTTGGATGTCCAAGACCCATTTGCATTGTCTTCGGGAGAGCCAAAAATCTAGTTGTTGTTGTTAATGTTTCTACTTACATTTAATGAATCTGAAAAAGACCTGTTAGGTTTGTTTCATTCTTCACTCAGGGATGAAAAGAAGTTTGAAATGCGAGAGGATCATTTTCTTATCCTTAAGGAAATTATAATTACAATGATGTTTACTGATGTAAACTACATAGGGAGCACTATAACTTGCACATTACAATAATATTAAAGGTTACAATTAACAGACTATTAGATTCAACTGTTATTTATTTTTATTTATAAACCGGAGAGTTCCGGTCTTTGATTCTGATTGGCTGAGCCGCGTTCGAAGCTGTTGTAAATTACTCTACAAACACACACCTTTGTTTACTTCTGTGTGTTGCTCTGCAACCACTTTGTTGTAACACAACTGTTTCTGAGGAACTACATTGTTAGCCGGAAGAATTCTGTTTTTATTAATATCATTACACTTTATTTGCTCTGTTTTGTGAAACCTTACTACGTATATGGAATAACTGTTTTATAAGAGCAATAAGCCCCAAGAAGCCGTGGTTTGCAGTGAATTTATAACAGCTAAGGGCCACGTCGTGCTGAACAACGCCCCTTAGCTGTTATAAATTCACTGTAAACCACGGCTTCACGGGGCTTATTGCTTTAATTTACTCACACATGCCTACTATGATCCGTTGTATTAATGCAGATCTAGGTACGCATGTCTGTCAAATATAATATAATGATGATATCCACACACCTTCCCTGAACCAAGCTGATGGTATCTGTTCTCCAGCAGCTGATGAACGGGATCCTCTGAAACGTACGTCACGAAGCAGAATCCCCGCCTCTCGTTTGTTTTGGTGTCCATGGGCAGCTCGATGCTTTCAATCTTTTGAGAGAAAAACACACCGCTTGTGGTGCTACTTCCAAAACGATGTGATTTTAAATGATAAAGCGCTTCACTGAAGGTACTCACCTCCCCATAAGCTCCGAAGTACTCCCGGATCTGCTCCTCGGACGTGTCTGGACTCAGACCGCCGACGAACACCTTCTTGGGCGGCTCCTTGCCCTTCATGGCTTTGGCTCTCTTGGGATCGATCAGCTTCCCATCCAGCTTGTGCTCCTTCAGCTCTAGCACCTGAACACATCAAGAGCCTGCTATCCTCAGGGACTGTAGATCTCTGAGCTTTCCATTTCTGATGTGATCAGACTAAAGTAAGTATTAATGTTCAGTGCGTGCAACATCCTGCAGCGTTTGTGCTTCAGACATGAATGATGTGTCTTTTGGAGAGGTGTGCCGGTGATCAGACACACAGGAGAAAAAAATCCCACAAAAAAGTCCTCTTCCTGTCTGAGCACAGCACATTGAAGGAGGCAGTCGAGCCGTATCTAGAGACCTGAAGATCACAGGTGGACTTTTTTCATGTGGCACAATGAAAAATGTCAAAGTGACTTTTGGATGTCCAAGACCCATTTGCATTGTCTTCGGGAGAGCCAAAAATCTAGTTGTTGTTGTTAATGTTTCTACTTACATTTAATGAATCTGAAAAAGACCTGTTAGGTTTGTTTCATTCTTCACTCAGGGATGAAAAGAAGTTTGAAATGCGAGAGGATCATTTTCTTATCCTTAAGGAAATTATAATTACAATGATGTTTACTGATGTAAACTACATAGGGAGCACTATAACTTGCACATTACAATAATATTAAAGGTTACAATTAACAGACTATTAGATTCAACTGTTATTTATTTTTATTTATAAACCGGAGAGTTCCGGTCTTTGATTCTGATTGGCTGAGCCGCGTTCGAAGCTGTTGTAAATTACTCTACAAACACACACCTTTGTTTACTTCTGTGTGTTGCTCTGCAACCACTTTGTTGTAACACAACTGTTTCTGAGGAACTACATTGTTAGCCGGAAGAATTCTGTTTTTATTAATATCATTACACTTTATTTGCTCTGTTTTGTGAAACCTTACTACGTATATGGAATAACTGTTTTATAAGAGCAATAAGCCCCAAGAAGCCGTGGTTTGCAGTGAATTTATAACAGCTAAGGGCCACGTCGTGCTGAACAACGCCCCTTAGCTGTTATAAATTCACTGTAAACCACGGCTTCTTGGGGCTTATTGCTTTAATATAATCAACACTCAAATAAAAATTTCTATGCACATAAGGCAGTTTTTACATTAACTGAATGTGTCACCTATTCAGCGATCTGTCATGCTACACCAAAAAGCATCAAAACAGCATTTATTGTTGGATTTCCTGATAAAATGTCTACCGAACTGAAAGACCAATACCGAACATTTTCAGTACTAATACATGTACCGTTACACCCCTAGTAAATATGTGCTGCGTGCTCTCCTCTCAATAACAAAATAAACACTGAACAAAAATGATGGCGGTAAGATAAACCAACAAAGAAGAAGATGATGGAGCCCCAGAGCACATGTACCTATTAAGTAATTACCACGGATCGATGGCAGTTTGAAGGTGTTTACCTGCTGGGGCAAACTTTTGTGGAAAGTTTCTTTTGGAAAGCTGTTTCGAACTCCTGAAACAAACTTTATTTGGCCTTATTTTATTGGAAATGACGTCACACCAGTTCAGTCTGTGATTCATCTTTCTGTTGAGAAAGGCAGCTTCCCCCTCAACATCATCAGAGAGCAGCTGAATGATCAAGACTGGAACAGTCTAAGCCCTGAACCTCTGCACATTTAAGAAACAAACAAATACAAATGTGACCCTGGAGCACAAAACCAGTCATAAGGGTCAATTTTTCGAAATTGAGATTTATACATCATCTGAAAGCTTTCCATTGATGTATGGTTTGTTAGGATAGGACAATATTTGGTCGAGATACAACTATTTGAAAATCTGGAATCTGAGGGTGCAAAAAAATCTTAATATTGAGAAAATCAGCTTTAAAGTTGTCCAAATGAAGTTCTTAGCAATGCATATTACTAATCAAAAATTAAGTTTTGATATATTTACAGTAGGAAATTTACAAAATATCTTCATGGAACTTGATCTTTACTTAATGTCCTAATGATTTTTGGCATAAAAGAAAAATCGATCATTTTGACCCATACAATGTATTTTTGGCTATTGCTACAAATATACCCCAGCGACTTAAGCCTGCTTTTGTGCTGCAGGGTCACATATAAAAAATAATAAGTGAAATGATCATATAAATAGAGGCCAGCGGCTTCTTAAAGTGACAGTCGACCTGTGAATGTGTTGTTGTGTAATGTTGTGTTGTGCTGTGTTCATCCTCTTTCTAACCCAGGTGCCTTCCAGGATACACAGGGAACCGCTGTCAAACCACAGACCCTGTGAGAGTCATAGACCCCAAACGTATGTGCAGTCAGTGAGCATCCCCTTCACCCCCAAACACACACGCCATCGCCGCTGTTTCTGCGCTGCCTCGCTGTTCACAAAGCATTCTCTCTGTCAGAGTTTGCCAGGCCGCTCTTAGACGATGGGCTACTGTCTTTTCTGCCAACATTCAGACTAGAGATATTCCTCAGTGTTCAGAGACCAGCCACGTTGAAGCTGTTGATTGGCTCTCGGAAGCTGAGTGAAATGAGGTGGACGTTTGCGAGAGGTTCAGCGGGCAACACCGGAGACACGCGTGTGTGCGGGGGACTTCTGGGTGTCAAACTCACTTCCTGTCTTCCTCTCTTTTCTCTCTGTGACTTCTGTCTTTCCCTCTCAGGTGCTCCAATGAGTTTACTGGTGATCGCTGCCAAAACTACGTAATGGCCAGCTTCTACAGTACGTCTATTTCCTCTTCCTGTCTGTGCTTGGATTGGAGCATGCTCAGTCAGCGCTACCTCCTGTTGCTTTGTTTTTGTGCTCTCGATGGACAGGAAGTCAGATCAGACAGTGGTCCAGTTAGTTTTGGGATTCTGTTTATGTTTTCCATTACTTCTCTTTGCATGTTTAGTGTTTATTAATCTAGTTTTGTTCTGTTGGATGCTAGTTAGCTGACGATGGTTAGACAGGATTGACATTCATCAGTCTGGACACATGAGTTATTAGGGGATATCGGGTTTCTCTGTTTCACATCATCTTGGACTTAGACAGGAACAGATGTATAGAGCTCTGTCTGCGGACAAAATCAAACAAGCTGGTTCATGATATGTTATGAACTATGGCTACATTGAGGGAGGTATAATGGAGCAGACAGAAAATCTCCATCGATTTATCTACAGTGCTAAAAAATAGCAGAATTTACTGGAGACCTGCTCAGACAATCTATTCTCAGCTATTAATAGTGTTTGCTAATGTGTCCTTCGTAGTATGAGCTCCATCAGTAGAGATGCTCTGGCTTAGGGTCCAAAGAAGTTTTATCACCGAGAAACGACATGCAGGAAAGATCAGATCATTGGCCCTCTAACAATACTTCATTATTAGGTCAGCATTCCATTCAAACAATTGATAAGCAAGGATGATATTATTTTGAATTATTCTAATTGGTCATTTTACATTTTTGTTATTGTAATGTCACTCCATTTTATGGCTGGAGTGCCATGTATTTATGGCTAAGTATGACATTGCTTTTTTAGTCATGAGGTTATTTAAATAATTTTATAAGAAATCGGTATGTTCGGAAATTCTGAGAACCTCGTTTTTTATTTCAAATTACATTTCTGGAACCTGTTCTCAATGTACAGAGGAATCATTTTGCCAGTGTTATTTCTTTTCAAACTTTGACTGGCTCAGGTACCAGACCAACAAGCAGCAGCAGGTTATCTTCTGGACGTTACAGATAGTTTAGGTGACCGAGATGTGCATGTGTTTAACAGCATGTTCATTTAAAACATGTGCTGGCATAATGACATGAATAACCGAGTCTGACTTTGTCCGTAGTGAAATGTGGAGGGTCGGTCTCTATAATGATGTGAGCGCAGTGACATCTGCATGTGCATGTCCTTGTGTCATGATGACAACCAACCGTACGAGTCTGTATATAGAGATGCACATCGCTATATACGTGTGACAAACCATCCATGTGTCTCTTAATGAACTCTAAAAGCATTCAATGATGCATTGTCATGGTGGGTTTAAAGTCAAACAGAATAGATTTGAATGATTTCTTTTCAAATGTCTTGTGTGTCTGTGTGATGTACCATGCTGTACACTCTTAAAAATAAAGGTGCTTCAAAAGGTTCTTCAAGCGATGCTATAGAAGAACCATTTTTGGTTCCACAAAGAACCATTCAGTCAAAGGTTCTTTAAAGAACCATCTCTTTCTTACCTTTTTGTAATCTGAAGAACCTTCTTTCGCCACAAAGAACCTTTTGTGAAACAGAAAGGTTCTTCAGATGTTAAAGGTTTTTATGGAACCATTTAGACAAAAAGGTTCTTCTATGGCATCGTGAAGCACCTTTATTTTTAAGAGTGTACTCTACATGCTGAGATGATTTTAGTGTTTTCGGAGGTGCTTTGAGGTGGTGTTTGTGTGCAGTCAGTCAGAGTTGACATCACCGCTCAACTGTTTTCTGTTTGTTTGTGTTTTGCTTTCTTTTCATCACCTTGTCTGCCTTTGCAGAACATCTTGGGATTGAATTTATGGGTATGAATCGTTCTTTCCTCCTAGTTTGCAGATTCGTAGGTCTAGAAGCTTGAGCCTGTTTCCTTCAACTTCAGCTGGTTTCCTTTTGCTCATGAAGGGATCAAACAGCCATAACAAGATGATTGGAGATTGACATCATTATTATTCTTTATTATATTAATGCACCGGGCTTCAGGTGGCTGCTCAGAGCCACTCTGCAGGTTTCTAGTGTTTTAGGCAAGAAAGTGGATAGCCGCTCCAAAGCATGTGATGTGCAGGGGGGCATTAGCCTGCATGGTAGGAAGGATGCTGTTAATTATTCATGAAGACCTCTGATATCTTCCATTCAAAGCAGATATGTAAGGCTCTCACACACACACACACACACACACACACAGACAGAGGCAGCTAAATTAATTCACACACAGTTCAGCTGTGCAGAAGAGAAGCCATACTGCAGTAGTTATGCTTTGTTTAGATCCCTTCAGCTTTGCTTTGCCCTCCATTCATGCATCCCTCTATCTTCAGCATGACGTCTCATTCCTCACTTTCTTCCTTGTTTTCTCCCATTGTTCTATTTCTCCTCTGTGTTTTATCCATGTCTGTTTGTAGTGATTGCCATTGTGTTGTGTGCATCAAGAATATGCTATACTTAAAGATTTAAGATGTAAATCAAATGGGTGGTAGTGTTTGCTCACAGGCTTCAGTAATGTTTACTACGACAGGAACACACAGTATTCTGTGCCTTAAAGACCCCGTGAAGGCTAAAATGATAAAAATTATATTTTTTGCAGAGAAAATGGGCCAAAAACATTGATGACACCATATCGCACTCAAGGACGTATACATATTTTTTTGTCCAATCAAATAATCTTTGGAGTGAGAACTGTCAAATTGTACTTAGACACTAGAAAGAAAAATAAGATTGTCAAACAATTTCATGGGGTCTTTGGCATGAAACAAAGCCATTTCCAGCCATTCAGTTGTGTTCCCAAACTGTGAGTTCGCACCACTACCAATTCATGACTTTTTATAAAAGCCTTTAGCATTACATATCTATTGGCCCTTCACAAACATATAAATCAAAATAGACTAACAAGTGAACAATGTGAAAAAAGAACAACTTGTTGAAGGCTTCGATAAATTCAGTCTGCCAATGTTGTGATTAAACCGCGTAATGAAATGAGTGAAGTGCATGCAGTGTTGAAGACATCTCGGAGGCCTCGGGCCCTGCAGAGTTTGCATTTCATGTAATTGTGATGACATGATGATTCTGAAGTGACCTTGAATTAACACGTCCCGTTGTCTCCTCCCCTCCTCTCTCAGCAAAACTACATCCTGAGATCAATAAGCATCTGTGTGTCCTAGTAGCAGTAAACCCCCAGCATCACTGGAAACATACATGTGTGCTAGCTTCTGTTCTTACTTGGAAACCTGTTGACATAACATAGTTATTATAAAAATAAATATTCCAAGTAAGAATGTGACTGAGATCTGTGTGATGTGTGTGTGTTTCACCTGGAATCTTCAAAAGCAGTCTGTCCTCTCTTCCAGAAGCTGAGGAGCTCTATCAGAAACGCGTTTTGACTATAACAGGCATCTGCATCGCTCTTCTAGTTGTTGGCATCATGTGTGTGGTGGCTTACTGCAAAACAAAGTAATTCACTTTTTGAAATGTCTTACTAATGTTTCACTCAAAAACTAAAATTATTGCTAGTCATTGAAATGCGATCTCCTGCAGTCTAAGAGCTGTGCGTGTTTTTGCACATGTAGGAAACAGAGGAAAAAGCTGCATGATCGTTTGCGGCAGAGTTTACGCGAGCGAAACGCTGTGGCCAAAGGCCCTCAGCACCGCCACTCTCCACCCGAAAACCTGCAGCTGGTCAATGTGAGTATCATCACCACACAGACCCTAAGAATCTGCAACATCATGCTGATATACTTAATCCTGTGCACTGCAGTTTGAAACAGTGGTTAAAATAATTCTCTTCACACAATGCCCCGTTTTGGGATTTGAGATTAGCCATTCACAGAAGAAATAGTGCCATTTACGTTAATGCAATCAATATGAAGATTTGTAACAATCACCTAAAAGCCAATATTAAATGATGTACAAACAGTTAAAGTTGACATTAAACAAGTATATAATATGCTATAAGAAAAAGCATGTAATAAAAGTATATAATATACTTTAAGAGTCGAACATCAATCAACTTTGGTCTTATTTCAGCATTACATGCGGGAAAATACCAACCCTCCTCATGTGCATGTGATGGACAAAGAAATGGAAACATCTATCTCCACAAATGAGTTCACCTCATCAACACATCCGTCCTCTGCTGTCACTCACTCCTCCAGCCAGTGGTACAGTACAAACCCATATAACATCATGCACACAAGATTACTACCTAGAAATTGTACAAATGAAATCAAGTCCTATTTATTGGTGTAGCACTTCTTACAATAAATTTTTTTGCAAATCAGCTTTACAGGAAGTTATGTTGTAACTATAATTATATTTATACTGTAGTATAAATACTACAGTAGGCTTCCTGGCGTAGAAGTCCCTTTCTTTTAGCAATTTTTTTAAAAGACGGATTGACCATTAGCTCCTATGATTTATATCAGGGGTGCCCAAACTCGGTCCTGGAGGGCAGTCAGTATTATAGGTGGTGTAGTACTTTAACAGACATTCAACAAACTATATATATATATATATATATATATATATATATAGTTTGTTGAATGTCTGTTAAAGTACTACACCACCTATAATACTGAAGTGAGATCCATCAGTCAAGAAATGTCTTTGTAACCATGGACCCTCTGAAATGTCTATGGAGACGATGGTGAAATAGGTCCAAAACCAAGGGACAGTCACTGTTTAATGATGAGGAATCATTGTGAATGAACAACACAAGACTAGAGGATGTGTGTGATGAGTGGCTTTGCATTTGGCTTCTCACAGCTGGAGTAATGGGAAAGCAGAGAGTGTGGTTTCTGACAGTCACGCAGTCCTGGTCAAGTCATCGGTGGAGAACTGCCGGCACGGTACGTCCGGTCACAGGGGGCGTCTGAATGCTACCGGAGGAGTCCATCAGCTCAACGATCACCTGAAGAGCTGCAGAGAGACCCAGGGCTCCTGCAGAGACTCCCCCTACAGCCAGAGGTACTGTTCACTGCATAGTACTCCTGCAGGATCCCATCTCTCCTCATTAATACCATGAGCCTTTGAATAAATATTATGTCATGTGAAGCTTTATGCCGTGCTGCTTTTATTTATCAAGCAGTAAAATCACCCATTCCGTGGCCAAAATAAGCAGTCTATGGATGAGAGCATAAAGTGAGGACTGATGGGATGTTTTTCTGCTCAACAGACGATGAGTGGAAGGAGAATTTTAAAATAACATGACAGTTATGACACTTCATTCTACAAAAACAACACATCATGCGTCATTACGCCATTTCTACGTCATTGCACGTGCAAAGTACTTTCCAGTTTTGGTTTTCAATCCGATCAAGTGTTTACAAGTCTTCTGGATTGGATTAGAAAAGGTCTGCACCACCCCTTCCAATCTGATCGAAATCTCATTTGGATCAATCTCATTCAGATCAATTAAAGGCCCAATATGTAATTTTCGCCTCTAGAGGGCGCATATTCAAAATAAACAAAGCGGCAAAGGCGTAGTTTGATGATGCAGTGACTGAGTGTGGAATCATGGGAGTTGTGGTCTTCATCCCCACAGCCGATGCAATCCGACGGAACTCGGGCAGAAATCATGTTCATGGATGAGCATAGTATTTACTTATTAACATAGTAGAATGAAGCAGGATGAGGCTGAAAGCCGTCGAAGCGAAACGAGGCCGCTGAACGAGCACAAAGCTCGAAAGCAGCTGAGCTTTTATTATGCCACAGTCGACCGCTTCCGCTCCTTCCGGTCGTGCATATGTGGGGTAAAGCAGCGCTGTTTTATCGTACTAGATACGTTTGAAAGTTGTGTTATAATGCTACTCTGTGCGGTCGTCACCGGTCTAATAAAACGCACAACATATTAAAGCGTCTTTGGTGTTTCCAAGTTTTATACCGGAAATCGAGGGGTAATGAGGTCATTGGCAGGCGACACAATGACACTATGGACACGCTCCGTGTCACTAGTTAAAATTGCTTATTTCTCTGGATTTAAACCTTCTTTAAACATTAAAACATTTAGGATAATGTAAGTACACAAGTCAGCAAAATATATAACACTGTTCTAGTGGTTTTTGGTTATTTTAATAAAAATATCTTACATATTGTGCCTTTAAGGTGTTTACATGACAGAAACCGTCATTTACAATTGAGCCATCAATCCGTTTACTAACAGATTATTTGGTTGCATGGTTGCATTGAGGATTTCAGAAAAGTATCCATTCTAAAGTAAGAATGAAATTGCAGTACGCCTCACAAGGTATAGCTGTCAGGGTATAAAGTAACTTATTTGAAACGAGACGTGGTCCATGACGTATACAGATGACAATTGTAATCTTTAGTGGGCGCAGCCTTTGAAATAAGACAGTGGTGAGGCAGCAGTCATGATAGATACTGTAAAGTGAGTCTGTGTTTTTTCCACAAGGTATGTTTCGGCCATGACTACACCCAGCTGCTTGTCCCCCGCGGGGCTTCTCTCTCCAGCGACGCCCTCCTCGCCTCCCTCCGAGATGTCGGCTCCTCTGTCCAGCCTGGCGACCTCCGTTCCTTCCATGGCAGCGAGTCCCTCGGAGGAGGAGCGCCCCCTGCTGTTCCGGACCCCACCGATCCTGCGTGACAAATCCGGTCTAAATCAGTCAGGCCATAACCTCCGCAACTCGGCTCACTACAATCATGGCCTGGAGCTGCCCAGCCCTGCGGCCAGCCCTCTGCACATTGTGGAGCAGGAGGAGAGTGCACAGCAGTACCAAAGCACAGCCGCAGCGTCCCCCCCACACAGTCCCACTGCAGGCCACCGTAGCTCAAGAACTCAGCCGAGTGAAGAGATCAAATCATCTGGGCTGAAAGCAAACCAAAAGGTGACTTATTTTTTCTTGCCATGCAGTCTCTTGATTTTTGGTCTGATGGTCTGAAAATATGATTATTAAATCATGTACAAATGTATGCTCCTAAACTTTGCACCCAATACAAAATTATACTCAGCTCTATTGTTCTTCTAGACCAGATTAAATGTCTAAATCAGGGTTGTTGGTTTTTTGTTGGTTTTTTAACTTGGGGCTTGAGGTCCACTTTCCTGTAGCTCCAACCTTGCTCAAACTCTGTTTGTATCTTTCTAGTGATCCTGAAGGCCTTGTTTAGCTCACTGTGGCTGAGCTCCAGAGATGCAGTCGGGAGATGGGAGAAAGTTTTAGAAAGTCAACCATCACTGCAGCCCTCCACCAGTCGGGGCTTTACGGCAGAGTGGCCCGATGGAAGCCTCTCCTCAGTGCAAGACACATGAAAGCCCGCATGGAGTTGTGAGATGGTGAGAAATAAGATTCTCTGGTCTGATGAGTCCAAGATAGAACTTTTTGGCCTTAATTCTAAGTGGTATGTGTGGAGAAAACCAGGCACTGCTCATCACCTGTCCAATACAGTCCCAACAGTGAAGCATGGTGGTGGCAGCATCATGCTGTTGGGGTGTTTTTCAGCTGCAGGGACAGGACGACTGGTTGCAATTGAGGGAAAGATGAATGCGGCCAAGTACAGGGATATCCTGGACGAAAACTTTCTCCAGAGTGCTCAGGACCTCAGACTGGGCCGAAGGTTTATCTTCCAACAAGACAATGACCCTAAGCACACAGCTAAAATAATGAAGGAGTGGCTTCACAACAACTCTGTGACTGTTCTTGAATGGCCCAGCCAGAGCCCTGACTTAAACCCAATTGAGCATCTCTGGAGAGACCTAAAAATGGCTGTCCACCAACGTTTACCATCCAACCTGACAGAACTGGAGAGGATCTGCAAGGAGGAATGGCAGAGGATCCCCAAATCCAGGTGTGAAAAACTTGTTGCATCTTTCCCAAAAAGACTCATGGCTGTATTAGATCAAAAGGGTGCTTCTACTAAATACTGAGCAAAGGGTCTGAATACTTAGGACCATGTGATATTTCAGTTTTTCTTTTTTAATAAATCTGCAAAAATGTCAACAATTCTGTGTTTTTCTGTCAATATGGGGTGCTGTGTGTACATTAATGAGGAAAAAAAATTAACAAATGATTTTAGCAAATGGCTGCAATATAACAAAGAGTGAAAAATTTAAGGGGGTCTGAATACTTTCCGTACCCACTGTAAATATGCTCTTTGTATGTCATATAGATTATTCTAAAATGGTCCTTTATTTAAAATGGGCATTGATATAAAACTAATAAAAAAGGGAATAAAAGTGGAATTGATCAAATTGGATCTAAAGTGTAATGTACTATTCAGAGAAAAAGCTCAGATTTGGGGGGTTGGAACTAAAATCTGTGGAACAGAAGCAGTGAGCAGCAGAGTTGCCCATCCCTGACAGTGCAATCAAGTGTTAACCTCTGCAGCATAACTACACAGCATAACTACATTTACGTGCATTTTCCAGCATGATGGAGCACCATGTCACAAAGCAAGAGTGATAAAGAAGTGGCTTGAAGATAATTACATTAAAATTTTGGATCTGTGGGCAGGCAACTCCCCGGATCTCAATCCCATAGAGAACCTGTGGTCAGTCCTCAAAAGGCGAGTGGACGAGCAGAAGCCCACAAAATGTGATCAACTTTGAGGACTAATAAGGCAAGAATGGAGCGCCATCAGTCAGGATTTGGCCCAGAAGCTAATATACAGCATCCATTCAAACGGCAGAGGTTATGAAGAACACTGTAAATACTGACTCATATTTTTTGCCAATAAAAGCCTTTAAAACTTATGATATGCTTATCATTGTTTTTCAGTATACCATAGAAACATGTGGATAAATAATCTACAAATACTGAAGCAGCAAACTTTGCAAAACACAAAATTTATGTCACTGCCAAAACTTTTGGCCATGACTGTAGTAGGTGGGGGGAGTGAATGACCAGCGCAATACCACTCTTCCACCCTCAATACCACGACTGTGATGAGACCCTTGAGCAAGACACCGAACCCCCAACAGCATTGGCTGCCCACTGCTCCGTGTGTGTGTGTGTGTTCACTACTCACTGCTGTGTGTGCACTTGGATGGGTGAAATGCAGAGCACAAATTCAGAGTATGCGACACCATACTTGGCAAAAGACACAACTTTCAGTTTCGCTTTTCACTTTCAAAAGGAGGTAGCACTTTTTCACATTTGGCTCCTAAACTCTAGAATAGCCTTTCTGATAATGTTTGTGGCTCAATCACTCTCTCAGTTTTAATTTGGAATAAAGACACATTGCTTTAGCTAAAAAGTCACATCGCACATCTCATAAACTAGTATTTCAGTTATGTTATGATGGAATCATAACAGTTGCACATGATCAGGGGCGCCGCTAAGGGGGGGGGGGAGTTGGGACGATTCTAAGGGCCCACTCACTTTTGGGGCCCCCAGAGATCTGTTTTATTAGTAGTAACAGTAGTAGTAGTAATGTAATATAAATTATAAATGTATCTACCAAAGAGTTACAAATAAAACAAAATGACGGCTTATTTCTGCATTTCATGCAAAATTATCTCCCCCATTTGCTGCATGGTTTCGTCCCGTCCCACGTAGCCTAGAGTAACTGAGTGAGATCAGATGGTCAACTGCCAAATTAGAGATGTCTTCGAGTTCGAGGGGGGCAAACCGAGCCGGATGATTTGGTCAGTCGCACTTTTAAACACATTTTAGTTTTGCTATAGAAAATCTACAAATTCACTCTGATTACACAGAGCAGCAGCAGGAGGCGAGTGAGGTTGTCATGACAACCAGATACACTGCACGCGAATTACAGCTGCACTTCTATTTTGCCACACTAAACTTGGCAATAAACACATTGAAAATAATACACAATAAACATGTCTGTCAAAATTATCTCAAAGGAGGCATTTAGTAAGCAAATCAAGGAGTGTTACTCATCCACTGTTTTAAATATCTCCCTTTCTGTTTGGCAGAACAAAGAAATTTATACGGGTTTGGAACTACTTGAGGGTGAGTAAATGATGACAGAATTTTCATTTTTGGGTGAACTATCGCTTTAATATAACTGATTATGTAGTCAAACTCATTCCATATCAGCAGAATAGTGTGGTACAGAAAGTCTATGTCCGTTGAACAGGTTCTGAATGAATTGTTACTGATACCTGGTCAAAAGCAATAGCAAAAGTAATAGGTCAATATTATTAAACTGCAGACAAAGATTTTGAATAGCTAGGCTGGCTTGTTCACTATATTGCCAAAAGTATTGGGACACCCCCTTCTAATGAACAGGTTTGACTACTTTAGTAATTTCTAATTTTTAGTATAAAAAAAAACATATAATGCTATTCTAGGGAATTGTGTGCTTCTAATTTTATACCAATAGTTTGAACAGGACCCTTTTCTATGCTAACACGACAATGCCTCTGTGTATAAGACAAGGTAAAAAAAACAAAAAAAAGATTGACTCAGTCAGTGTGGAAGAACTTGACTGGTCTGCATAAAGTCAAGTCCTAATCCCAGCTGAACACCTCTGCTGTGACTTTAAATGCAGACCTTGAGCCAAAAACTCACCACCAAACACCAATGACTTGTACATACATATGGACAAATGTATTGGGAAGGGATTCTTTAGAACAGAAAAAGGCACTTCCAAACTGTGGCATCAAAGATGGAAACATGATTCGCGTATTTAAAAATTGTATTTCCATCTCTGTTGCCACAGTTTTGGAAGTGTCTAAAATGATTGTACGCATATGTACAAGTCATTGGTGTTTGGCGATGAGTTTTTTTTTGTTTTATTGAGTTTTCCCAATACTTTGGGCAATATAGTGTATGTTTGGTGCGGTAGGGGGCCCAACCTCATATTCTTTCATAGGGCCCAAAATTGCTAGCGGCGCCCCTGCACATGATCATCAGCACTTGCCACACATGACTTGCATTATCTTGGAGCTATACATTATTGTGATATTTTGTTTCCAGATGAGGCTCTCTCACATGAGTTCCTCTCAAAGTTCACAGAGGAAGTTTTTTTCTTGACAGTTACCTGTGACTGCTCACTGGGCCTCAAAGAGATAAAAGGAGATTTCTTAATTGAATGCTATGTTCCCTGTGCATCAGGGCCAAAGACACTGTAACATTCAAATGTGCATTTTCTGGAAAGCTTTTTCAAAACCATCTGTATTGCGCTATACAAATAGCATGACTTGACCATGTAAGTGGATATGTTAAATACTGCTGTTAATAACAGAAGAGCTTCATGAACATGGCACTTTACAAATGTCTTGATCCTTAGGAAATGCTCTGATTTAAATTTTCCACTTACTAAGCTCTGTGGACAAGCGCAATTTGTTTTATGATAGAGAGAAAATCCCAGAGAAATGTCCACCTTCAAAAATTCCATTTTGCCTATACATTAGAAGGGCCCCATGGCTTCCATTGGTGTCCTGAGCTCTTAATTGGAGAGAGTGAGCAACCCTCCAGAGCCCAGTGAAATTCTTTCACACCGCTGTATTGCCACAGTAGAATTGCTAAGAAAGTTGAATAGACTGAACATTCCACGGCTGATTCCGACTGTGCTCCTAATATAGGTACTGAAAACATTCTTTGAAGTTAACAGTTTTCTTATGAAATATTAAAAATACAAAACTGTGAGTAGACAAAACTGTTTGGGTTCTACAGGATCACAGGACAGGACACATCTAAAGTAACCAAATTAAATTTATTTTCATATTAAACACCAGAGTTGAGAACCACGGCCTTAATTTAACATGCCTGATTCAGACCATGATTCATTAAGACAGAGCTCCATGAACAACTGAACTGTGTCAGATAAGAGAGATATACAAAATATGCAGAGCTGTGGGTTGCCTTGACCAGGATTGAAAACCATGGATTTAAAAGACAGGAAAACAAAATCAGTCAGTAAATGAGTTTACATAGTGTAATTGTCCTGGAGCACTGGATAATCTTGTCACTGCTGCAAAATTAAATGGTTTTGTCTTTTGATATAATCTTGCAATTGTCTTGCTCAGAACTAAAAAGTAGTAAAGTTCATTCAAAACTAAAATTATTTTTTAAACTTATCAAAATTATAAACACCCAAAAATCTTTCAACCACAAAGAAAAACAATCCAAAAGAAATGCATGTTCTAAACAAATTTAATTTTCTCCAAAATAATGCAACGTGAACACATTCCCAAAAAGGCTGGGAGCAGATTCACAATACCAGAAAAAAGAGCACAGTTGATTCATTTGATATATAAAGAAAAAAAGTTGTCTGAAGCTTAATGGTGGTGAGGTTTGAAGTCAAGCCATGATGTAGTTTCCTTACAGCCTAAGTTCAGCTTTTTACATCTTGATTCAGGTGCATTAACATAGCCACTATGTTAAGACTGCATCTTAAGAACTAGATCAAGCAGTTAATCAAGGAATAATCAGTCTAACTTTTAAGATTCAAAAATTGGAAAAATAAATGTTCTGTTTTTTCAGTTCAGTGTCCTCTTTAGAATGTCTTATTTTTCAAGTGCAAGTGCTGTTTTCCATTTGTCTTCTTTGCCATGAATTAACCTGTGTGAGGGTGTGTCTTTGTGATAACAGAGGTTAAATGTGGGAAGTCGTGGCCTAATGGTTAGTGAGTCGGATTGGGTTTGTACGAATACGTAATGATCTAGACATTTTACCAATGTAAGCGAGCCCACACGGACAACGGATAAGATAAATCACATGTGTAGATGAACAAGTAATTGTACCACATATCAAAATGTGATATGTTTGGTTTGCAATATTCTTTAAAATATCTCCTTTTATGTTTTTATGTTCTTAGTGACACCATCAACATTAAAGAGAGCGGCCACAGCTCTGGGGAAAAAAACCCCTCACACCCAGCACACTTCGTCTTTGAACTGTTGCCCTCAACTGTTGCGCTACAGAGCACTGAGCACCAGAAGAGCCAGGCACAAGAATAGCTTTTTCCCCCTTGGCCATATTCCACCTGAACACTACATAACTCATCCCAGGACTGTACATCTGTAAATAGCTTATCATCAGTAAATAGCACATATGCCCGTTCACAATTCTGTCTACTGATATTTTCTTTTTCTTTATATTTTATTACTGTATTGCGATTATTATTATTTTTAAAATGTATTGTCTATTCTCATTATTATTAACGTTTTATTACCTTAAATTATGTATGTCTGTACTGGAAGCTCCTGACACCAATACAAATTCCTTGTGTGTGTAAACACACTCGGCAATAAAGCTCTTTCTGATTCTGATGTCTGGATAAATGTGGCAGTCATCACAGAAAACAGCATTCAAGTCATTCTACTTGACCTAATCACACCTCAACAGCTCATGTTTCCTTTGCTGACTCTGCTTCCACTGTCTAATCTTTGCATCAGTTAAACATTCCTTCAAGCTGGATATCTACCCTCCAGAACTTCATAACTGAATTACATGTAAAAACTCGCCAACAGTTCAAACTTGTAGTTCCAGAATGATGATTTCTGGACTTGACAAAGAAAAGTATGTGATGATTCATACTGTCTGCATTGTTCTGCTCTGTAGATATAACAAGTACTCACTTGTACTTGAAAAGTGTCTGTAATTCCAGCAGCATTTAGGTATTTAGAATATTTTAGCCTGAAATGCCACACTGGTGTGGTATCAGAAGACTATGTTAACCATCTACAGACTCATGATTGTGAAGCAGTGACTTATTACTGTCATTAGTTAAACATTTGAATTCATAATTTTACTCCATTTTGTATCAGATGTATCTTTCTATATGAAGATACCATAATTAACAGAAATTATGTTGATTTCAACCAAAGAATAACATATAACACAGATATTGTACTTAAGTTTCAGAAGTACTTTTGTAGCTGACCATTCATAACCCAACTTTCTATCAAAATTGATTCAGAGATACTAGCTGAAACATGACCTCTGGATAACTCTTTCTAACCTTCACATGATTTTTACTGCTCAGGTTCAATAAGCTTCATTTTTAAACAGTTACAACATTTTACAGTAGAGCCAAATCCTTATTCTAGTTTGACAGCCCATCAAAAAGGCAGTCTCTCTGCAGTAATGTGAACATGGAGATATAAAAATATGTAATACTTTTAAGCAGTACTACTGCTGATAGAATAATAGTATATTATCAACATCACTTTTACCTGCTTTTATTGCTATTTATTTGCATATAGAGACAAAATACAGAAAACATGGCACATATCTGTAGATACATTGTGCATGTTTGTGTCTCCATCTAGTGTCAAGAAGGGTGAAGAGGAAGCACTACGCAGCAATAGACCAGAGGATTTAATTTTAGAGAAACATTTCATATAAAGATCATGTGACTTATATCCATACTACAGTGTGTAAGGTTGTCATTTGTTTCAAGTCTATTAGGCAACGTCTGCTGCCTTGAGTACTGAACACTTACTAAATAGAAGGATGAAAGACACATGAGATCTGTTTCACCATCTGCCATAATCACATATCAACACAAAGGAGATGCTTAGGAAACAAACATTAAAACAATATTTTGCTTCTTTTGGATTTTATGTAAATTTGGATTTTGCTTTTTTTGTTGCTTATTTGAATGAATGAATCTATGAAAGTTACAGTTCGTGAAAAAAAAAAAAAAAATTACCGAGAGTTATACATCAACCTGTGTGAAAAAGTATGAACTGGCAAAAAATAAATAAAATATCAATAATAATTTGAACGAATCCTACTTCTTTATTAATAATTAGAATTTACTTAAAATAAATGGCATAAAATCATAACCATAAAGTGCAAAAGGTGCATTTTAGTGTGTTTACAGTAAGAAAGGACCAAGGGGTGTCCAGTCCTGCTCTTGAAACCCCAGCTGTAGATCTTTTCGGTAAACACTTAAATTACATATATCCCATATGTTAACATTAGTCGACTATACATATTATCATGAACAATGAACGAACAAAAACTGTACCTGTTAATATTATTTAATATTATTCAATGAATAGTTGTTTTTGTTTTTATTAACTAACGTTAAAGATTTAAAAATATTGTAACAAATATACTGTAACAAATCATCACTGTTAACGCATTAAGTAACATGAACTCAAGGGACCTTATTGTCCAGTGTGACCTTTGAATATTAAGGCTAGATATTAGGCTATATATGATAAAAACACACACGGTTAATGCATATCCTGAGCATTGCATCAACTATTTAAGAGAAAATGTCACATCCACATAAAGATTATGTATGTTAAATATAATGCAATGCATGACGTAACTTTCCACATAACATGAAAATAGCCCTTTGAATTACACATCACCTTGAAGTTGTTTTTCCTCCTGAAATGCAGCCCACAGGTTTACCATCCACTTAACACAATAACTGCATTTCAGTTATCTGTTTCCTTCAGTCAGTAAACACTTCTCTCCAGAACTGCGTTACGGTAAAGTTTGTGTTCCTGCGAAGCATCAGTCCCAGCGCTCGGGCTTCTCTTCTGGACTGCTCATAACTGGCTCTCCATATCTGCCGAAGAGACGAGCTGGGGCTCACAGCAAACTCAAACAGCTCTGGAGGCGGGCATGTGAGGTGGCTTTCTTCAGCTCGCCAGACTTTAGACGGCAGTTTCTGTCACAGACCGAATTAAAAAGAACCAGTAAACAATAGCCATAACACTTTAGATTAGGGAAGACGATTCACTAGTTGCTTATTAGCATGCATATTGGCTGTTTTATTTATATGTGCTTAGAAAGCACATATGTGACCCTGGAGCACAAAAGCAGTCTTAAGTCGCTGGGGTATATTTGTAGCAATAGCCAAAAATACATTGTATGGGTCAAAATTATCGATTTTTCTTTTATGCCAAAAATCATTAGGATATTAAGTAAAGATCATGTTCCATGAAGATATTTTGCAAGTTTCCTACTGTAAATATATCAAAACGTCATTTTTGATTAGTAATATGCATTGCTAAGAACTTCATTTGGACAACTTTAAAGGAGATTTTCTCAATATTTAGATTTTTATGCACCCTCAGATTCCAGATTTTCAAATAGTTGTATCTCGGCCAAATATTGTCCTATCCTAACAAACCATACATCAATGGATTCAGCTTTCATATGATGTATAAACCTCAATTTCGAAAAATTGACCCTTATGACTGGTTTTGTGCTCCAGTGTCACAAATTTATGCAGGGGTGTCAAACTCAGTTCCTGGAGGGCCGCAGTCCTGCAGAGTTTAGTTCCAACACACCAACCATGTAGTTTTCAGATAAGCCTGAAGGACTTGATTAGCTGGGTCAGGTGCGTTTAATTAGGGTTGAATCTAAACTCTGCTGGGCTCCGGCCCTTCAGGAACTGAGTTTGACACCCCTGCATTAATGCCTCATTCTGCATGACCATATTCTAGATCCCTTAATCCTACCCAATACCTAAACAGAACTACTACAACTACTACTTTACTTACTACCAATAAGCAGTAACTAGGAGTTTATTGAGAGAAAACTCTCAGTTAACAGTGAATATGCATTCCCTAATCTAAAGTGTTACCACAATAACGAAACCTTTTGATTATTACATGATCAGAGAATGGAAAATATTTGTATCTCGGCCAAATATTGTCCTATCCTAACAAACCATACATCAATGGATTCAGCTTTCATATGATGTATAAACCTCAATTTCGAAAAATTGACCCTTATGACTGGTTTTGTGCTCCAGTGTCACAAATTTATGCAGGGGTGTCAAACTCAGTTCCTGGAGGGCCGCAGTCCTGCAGAGTTTAGTTCCAACACACCAACCATGTAGTTTTCAGATAAGCCTGAAGGACTTGATTAGCTGGGTCAGGTGCGTTTAATTAGGGTTGAATCTAACCTCTGCTGGGCTCCGGCCCTTCAGGAACTGAGTTTGACACCCCTGCATTAATGCCTCATTCTGCATGACCATATTCTAGATCCCTTAATCCTACCCAATACCTAAACAGAACTACTACTTTACTTACTACCAATAAGCAGTAACTAGGAGTTTATTGAGAAAACTCTCAGTTAACAGTGAATATGCATTCCCTAATCTAAAGTGTTACCACAATAACGAAACCTTTTGATTATTACATGATCAGAGAATGGAAAATATAAAGAAATCCTGTCAAAATCACCATTTCAGTACCTTTTCCCGCCGGTGGGTATTCTCCCAGACTCTGTTGCACACCATGCACTCGAAGGCATCAATGAAGCTATCTTGACCAAGATCCTGAACACCCCACGGTCGCTCCTTCAGCTCTGTCACCAGATTCACATTAGATATTTCCCGCTTCTGCTTCCACTCCAGATATTTCAGATATTCCCCGTCATTCTCGTCCAACCTCTTTAAATACTGAGCGAGCTTCTTCGGCGGCTCATTGGGATTGACCACAACTGCGCTCCTGTTATCTGGTAACCACATGCGTACGTTAGGAGCTCCGTAGTACACCGGCACAACGCCTAATTTGAGCGGCCTCCACAGTTTCTCAGTGATATAGTCATCACAGACGGCGTTCTCAAAGGCCAGGATGAACTTGTACTGGGCAAGGATCTGGTAGAAATCGTGATCGTCCATCGCAGTGGAGTCTCTCAGATGGGGCGGCAGGTCTTTATTATGAAGACACTGTCCGTATGAGTCCACCTGAATGTGTTTCATCAGCTCTTGAATGTAAACATCTCTGTCAGACGGTGGGTCGCAGTCCGACTGGACGTACGCCACCGGCGCCAGAGTCCTCCTCAGCTGGTTTTTGTAGGACAGAGGCAGCAGGTGTGTTTGTGAGCTGAGAGCGCTGAGGGCCTCCAGGTGCTGCGTGGTGAGGGGCAGGTGAGAGCGGCGGCTGAAGGTCGCCGTGTGGTTGAACAGGGTAATGAGCGGCTCGTGAAAAAGCTTGTAGTTATTCTTGGGCGACTCCTCGTGAAACAACGCCCACTGGTGCTGCTCGTGACGCGGAAGAGGAAGACTTTCAATGCTGAAATCCGTGCCTGGAAAAAAAGACAAATCTTAAAGAAAGTGTCTGTGTTCATCAGTACAAGGACCAATATAGGATCTACAAGGATCTGTATTATTATAGAAAATCCCTTTTTTGTATGATTTGTAAAGTTTCATTTTTGATATGGGGTTAGTGTTGTAGCTGGACGTCAATCATTCATTGATTAGTCATTCTATATTATATTTTATTATTAAATGTTATATTATGTTTCCATTGTTGTTTAATCTTATGGTTGTGTGGTTTCAAGGGAATTTGTCTTCACAAGTAAGAGATGAGAGAATATCTCCATTTTAAGGTTTTTAAAGGGGTCATATGATGTTGCTAAAAAATAACATTATTTGGTGTAATGAAATGTGTTTATGCGGTTTAAAGTTAAAAAAACACATTATTTTCCACTGTACATTATTGTTTCTCCTCTATGCCCTGCCTTTTTTTGTACAAAGCTCATCGGTCTGAAAAGCGAGGTGGCTCTGATTGGCCAGCTATCCAGTGCGTTGTGATTGGCTGAATACCTCAAGCGTGTGACAGAAATGTTACGCCCCTCACCATACTGTGATGATGCCCTGTCCGGCCGGAGCGACGAGACAAAAACATTAAAACCCATTATAAACGAGGCATTTGTTGCATCCAGTGGGGACATAATTACTGAATAGAATGAATTGTACTGTCTTTTTACGCGTTGCGTATCGTGCCGCATAAACATAAAACCATGTCTACATTTGTGATCGGCATGACAAATGACAAACAACAAGCGCTACTCTACACTGCCCAAAACTCACGTTTGAATCATCAGTGGCAAATTCTTTAAATATGAAAAACATACTTACAGTCTGTGAGTCAGCATTATTTGTCAGAACAGCCGACATTGTAAGCTACTCTCCCAGAAAACATTACTCATCCTCCGTAAAAATGAGTTGCACACACACGGATATATGGATTAAACTGTTCTGGAACAGTGTTGTAAATACAACTTAACCACTGATTTCTAGTCGTGTCCTCTTTTGGAAGACCAAATAAAGTAGTTTCGCTTTCACAACGAAACACACGGCACCTTCACAACATGGCGGCGGCAACAATACTACAGCGAGAATAAAAGTTACGCCTTCTTTCTTTGCGTGAACATTTGGGCGGCGTTATGCAAATCTTCCCATACAGTGAGGTAGATATGTGGGGGCGTGTTAGAACGAGGTGTTTTAGGGGGGCGTGGACGAGTCTTAACTTTTATAAAGAATATCTCTTTGGGTTTGAGACTTTAGTCTTTGCAACTTTAGGGAACTTATCTATTCGCAAACAGCTTGTAACACTCCAAAGAGAAAGGAAAACTTGAAATCGCATCCTTTAAGGTCACAGGGCGATGTTGTGACGCAGTAATTTTCCATTGCCTTTGCCTTTCACCTAATATTAACCTGAATTGACCCTAGACCACAAAACCAATCTTGAGTGTCAATTTTTCAAAATTGAGATTTATAAATAAGCTCTCCATTAATGTATGGTTTGTTAGGATAGGACAATATTTGCCCGAGATACAACTATTTGAAAATCTGGAATCTGAGGGTGCAAAAAAATCAAAATACTGAGAAAATCACCTTTAAATTTGTCCAAATGAAGTTCTTAGCAATGCATATTACTAATCAAAACTGAAGTTTTGATATATTTACGGTAGGAAAAGTACACAATATCTTCATGGAACATCTTTACTTAATATCCTAATTATTTTTGGCATAAAAAAAGGGATACTTTTGACCCATACAATGTATTTTTGGCTATTGCTGCAAATATACCCCAGCAACTTAAGACTGCTTTTGTGCTCCAGGGTTACGTATAATAACACCTTTTGGATTTATGTTGGTCAGATGTAATCTGTGCATAGAAACATGTGCAACCAAGATCATTGAATAAACAATAAACATTCAATCTCCTGCTTTCTGCTCTTTCCTGGCTTAGCCTGTCTGCCTCTTGAGCTGATAGAAAACTGTTAATACAGCTTTGAGTATTACACAAAATGCAGTAAAACACTGATTTTGGGTATCATACAAAACTGATATTTTCTGACAGGATCCAGTTTCCGGGGTAGGATCTAATATTGCTGATGTGGAGACACGATCTCTAACATTTCTGTCATTGTTGGCAGAATCTAACATTACCTTCACTGTTATCTAACACTCTTTAAAGAACACTAACAATTTAATAACACTGTTAAAAGTAATCCAAATGAACATACATTTTTTCACACTGTACACAATGCTGGGTAGTAACTGATTACATTCAAAATTTGGTTAAACTTTATATCTCCTGCTTTCTGCTCTTTCCTGGCTTAGCCTGTCTGCCTCTTGAGCTGATAGAAAACTGTTAATACAGCTTTGAGTATTACACAAAATGCAGTAAAACACTGATTTTGGGTATCATACAAAACTGATATTTTCTGACAGGATCCAGTTTCCGGGGTAGGATCTAATATTGCTGATGTGGAGACACGATCTCTAACATTTCTGTCATTGTTGGCAGAATCTAACATTACCTTCACTGTTATCTAACACTCTTTAAAGAACACTAACAATTTAATAACACTGTTAAAAGTAATCTAAATGAACATACATTTTTTCACACTGTACACAATGCTGGGTAGTAACTGATTACATTCAAAATGTGGTTAAACTTTATTTTAAGGTGTCCTTGTTACAGTGTAATTATGCATATAAGTACTGAGTAATGTTAATTAACTACATGTACTTAATATATGGTTAGGATTAGGGCTTGGATTGGGGTTACTTGCATGTTATTATGCATAATTAATTGTTATTATAATAGTAAGTACACGTAACGTGTAACAAGGACACCTTAAAATAAAGTGTTACCCAAAATGTAAGTACTTATAATTGGATTATAGTACGTTTTAAAATACCCTAAATCAGACTATAGTTACTTTTTCTCTGATTACATTATTACATATTATTCACACAATAGCAATAAATTATTCAAAGATTGTCGATTGTCCCAAATTTTTATTTTTCATATTTTAAATTTTCCTTTCTATAAAATAGCCTACTGCTTGTATACGTTCAGAAAGTCTTCCAGTGTTGTGGACATTCAAGTTTCTCAACATTTCAACCCTGCATCAACTACTGATGAACACATTAATGTTTATCTGAATTATCACTAAGTGGGTTATTTCACCTAATATTAACCTGAATTCAAGATTCGTTATTGTCACTATACAAGTATAGTGAAATTTGAGCAACCCTTACAGTGCAGTCACATGTAACTTAAACATCTGTAATACAGAAAAAAAGTATGTTATTACTATACAATACAAGACAACAATACACAATACAAAGAATTGAAGTACCCCTGAGACTTTACGGGAATACGTTCAGTAACATTTGCATGTTCACGGTGTGCTGATGTTGGTTACTAGTCTCACATGAAATGCAAGTAAACAAATTATTTAATCTTTTTTAATAAGTGTTTTATTTGAATTGTTAATTTAAAATAATTAATTTAAATTTGACATTTTAATGACTTAATTGATTGGTAGCTTTTCAATTAACTCACAAACCCCCTGCAGTCCCTTCACGAACCCCAGTTTGGGAAACCTTGATGTAATGCTTAATTCACTTCATGTTGTTAATAACAATAAATGAAATATATTTTCTTTCTCTTTGCATTTTCAAATCAACATGGTACAAGATTATCCTATTTAAATCAATGTAATGAACGTGTTAGGTCAAAAGTAATCTAAAAGTAATCCAAAAATAGTCCATTATATTACCTAAAATGTGTAATATAGTGGATTATGTAACTAACTACAATTTTTGTCATGTAATTTGGAATCAGTCACAGACTACAATTGTAACTACAGTGGGTATAGAAAAGAATCACCTCTCTTTAAAAGAATCACATTTTGTTGCTTCGCAGCCTGAAATGAAGACGGACCGTTTTTGTTTTATCCAGCTGTATTTACTCTTATTTATAACATCCAAGTGAAAGATAAAACACCAACATGTCAGAAAAACAGAATTCTTTTAAAGAGAGGTGATTCTTTTCTACACTCACTGTAATCTGCCCCGCACTGTATGTACATTCTAATTACTGTATCATGTAAAACATCTGATATTAGTTTGTATTTTTTTATGTAGACAAACTGTATAAAAAATGAATATTGAATTTTAATAATACAAAAGAGTATCCATGAATATGAGCATGGATCAACTGAACAATGAATTCAATGAATGTCTGTATGGACTCACCATAAAAAAGAAAAGCTTTTGTCTGTGGATGGGAATGATAAGACTTGTTAACAGTGAAGAAACATCTGTTATGGCCACACTCTCCGAGACGTCCCAGTTCTCCAGTCAGAGGAGACCACCACACAATGACAGGGTACTGTACGTGTGTTCCCTGCTGTCTGAGTGTGTTCTGCTCAAACTGTCCTAGCTGTTCGATAACCTGCGACGAGAGAAGACACTGATACTGCAGACATGAAGGATGGATTTACTGAGGAAGGTTTGCACATGACTAGCTCAAAATACTGTTTGCAGAAACACAAGTCAGTTGTCTTTCCAAAAAGTTTCATAAATGAAAGCATTTACTTGTTAGAGAAGTGGAGAAAATTCCTATGTGAGAAATGCAATGCATCTTACAAAAATCAGTAACCAATTGTTATTTCATATGTCAGGTTGCAGGGATGGAAAAGGGAGGTTTTAGTGAAAGGAGATACCAAGGATGAGGAAAGGACAGAGATTTATCCAAATGTTAAGTGAGGGACTGATCAGATCCCTAAGGGCAGCGGACACACAGCGTGAAATCTGCAAACAAGAACAACTTCAAAACCAGCATATCCCACATTTATGGTTCATTTGCGCTACATTTATCCGCCCATGCGGTGTTTAGGGAACGTTTTAAACTCGTTCGAGTGAGCACTCTATGGCAGTGTCTCACACCAGAGTGAAACATTTCATGTGTAGGTAAGCAAATCTTTGCTGACTATCTGAAGTTTCATTTAAGGATAGAGTTCATATTTTACCTGAAATGTCATGATTAAAAACACAAACGCACACGCGCAGAAACAAAAAGCGCAAAGTTTTTTAACAGAGACTGGCCACATGTCAAACCCTCTGTCCGTGAGCGTACCATTAAAAACTATAACACTTCCAAATGATCTATTTTGACGGTATGTTTTTTTCCCTCGAATATTTGCGACCTGTAATGCATGATTTATTCCTGTAAATATATTGGTCCCATAGCGGCTGTCCGAAGAGCGTTTTTTGGTAGTTTCAGCGTCACTTCCGTTACGCGTCCCTTTAAACCACAGACACTTCCTCTACGAAGGGAAGTTCCCTTTCAGTCGGTCACTCTCGACGTCACGTCGGATGACTGACGAATTGGGATCTCGCTTAGAGAGACCAATCTACTTTGAGTGTAAACTAAACGAGCCAATGCACATTGGCATGCGATTATTGCATCCAGCTGCCGCTGATCACAGCGTGAGTATAAGTAGGCAGCAGATGCAGCGCATATTCAGCTTTTTGCTTCGGAGCCGAGCGATCACATCGTTCTGCTCCTGACTACTCTACTGAGAGAAGAAGACTGAACGAGTTCAGTGCGCTCTTGGAGAGCTCTTCGTGTTGGCGGTACGGCGCTTAAGTGGTGGTGGTTTCCCGTTTCGAGTGGGTTGCACACATCAGGCTGCACTACCCCCTGTTTGTGTTGCAGATGATCATCTCCCCTGTGC